AGGTGTATGGGAGTATTGGGGGAGGGTATGGGGGTGTTCGTGGGGTTATTAGGGGTCAGCATCCGACCAGTCAAGGGCCGCCGACCGTCGGGGTATGCAACACTGCTGGTGAAAAGAAAAAAAAAAGGATTTACCTGGTGTATGGTGGCTTCACTGCAGAAACATGCCCTCCGCCAGCATGTATTGCCCGCTTCAACGTGTCCATAGGAGGTTTTGTAAACCCCTCTGCTCCATAGAAGACGACTTTCAGCCCATGGAAAGCACCACACCCAGTGGTTTCCCGCTGCTCTCTCCACTTCCTTGGGGCCCTTAGATCTATTACGTCGTCAGCATCAGTGGACTCTTCGGACCATTCATGTTTCGACTCGTCAACAAAAGACCCTGCTTCAAGAGACGATAACAGGTAGGATGGCTGCAGCAACCACCTTCCGCCTGCAACTGCTGCAAACACTTTCTCTGTCCGCTTAGGAGCCTGCAAGATCAAGTGGGTGGCACTGTCTTTCCACGTATGCTTCTCTCCACAGAGTTTCCCTTTTAAACGCTTGATGATCGCCTTGGCCTGCTCTTTCTCTCCGTAATCCCCTGTGAGAGCAAAGCACTTCACTGCTGTCACATTATTCGCCTTTGAAACACAAGCCTTCATACTCCGCTTAACCCCCCCCCCGTTCTCTCCCACTTTTGCTACAACAGGTCCAACTGATTCATCATGGGCCTCTCCTTCCCCGGAGCCTCCTCGGGTGTCTTGAAGTCTCTTCGCATTGGTAGATCTAGATCCATCCCCCTCCAGACTTTCAGCCTGCTCTGCTGACGATCCCAGTTCACCTTTCATCTTTCCCCTTCCCCCTCCCCTGCCTCGAACTTTCTTCTGCACTCCTTTCCCTTTAGCTTTAGGTGCCTTTTCTTTGGACACAGGCTCCTCCGCTTTCAGGCCATCTTTCATATTTCGCCTGATGTTCACTCTTGCTTCAATCTCTTCACGTACCTTCCTCTTTATCCTATCATGAATACCATTCTCTTCATTTGCCTCATCTACCTCAGATTCGATATCTCCGGCGCAAGCAACAGCGCTAACGCCTGGGTTCTTTTCATCTGCGTCACTCAGACCTGACACTGCATTGGCTGGGATCCTTGCACTATTGTCAGCATCGACACCTCTGCCATCGACCGCATCATTTTGTCTGTCTTCGCTAATCACGATTCCAGATCCATCATCCTTTTTCCCCTGCCTTCCTGTTTTTGATAATGGCTTCTTTAAACTGGATAGATCATTATCCCCGAGCTTTTCTAGCCTTCCTCTTTCCTCTCTGCCTTTACCTTTACCTCTTCCTCTCCCTCTTCCTTGCCCTCCACCTGGCCGATTCTCTGCTTTGCCCCTGCCATCCCTCTTCTTCGACTGATTGTCAGGCACATAGCTACCATCATCATGATCACCATCTTCAACACCTATCACTTCTCGAGATGGGTCCTCCTCTATCGCCTTTCCGCTTCCTCCTACACCTTCTTCCCCATCCTGTGTGGGTGCGCCGGATACCAATTTGTCTGCAGCCTTTTTCTTCCTCAAGGCACCTCCAGCACGATGTGCCTTAGTTGCTGCGTCTGCTGCATTCTTAACGCCTGTCATCACCCTCGACAGCCAGTCCTTGTCGTCATCTTCAGATACTCCATCCGTGTCGGACTCCCCTTTTCCTTCCCCGATATCCATTTTTGTCCCAACTTTTGCCCGCAGGTTTCGGCTACCTTGTGTTGGCTCCTTTGTTTCAAGGTTTCTCTTCACAGGGAGAAGTTTTTGACCCCTCTCCGTGCGCTTACTTCCCCCCTTCTCTGCCGGGCTTGCTTCAGGACTGGCGTCTTTTCCGGCATCTTCCCCACTGCTGACATACGCTAAGCTGGCATCGTCCTTCCCTCCATTCCCAGGCACTGAACTTGCCTGCAGAAGTGCTTCAGCAACTTCTCTCCCTCTTGACAACAGATTGGGTGTCTCTGGTTCTTGGACGGTAGGACTTGCATCAACAGTTCTACCACCTCTACCTCTACCTCTACCCCTTCCCTTTGACTGCGCACGACCTCCAGTTCCTCGCCCAGACCCTCTCCCAGAACCTTTCACCGAACCTCTTCCCCCTGATCCCCTCCCACCAGACCTCCTCCTGCTTCCGTCGTTGGCCTTGTCACCCTTCAAGCGTTTCCTGTTCTCAGTTGCCGGACTGCCAACATCTGCCTTCACCTCATCGCCTGCATCATCACTTTGTAGATCAACTTCTTGCCTGTCATCATCCATCCTTCTTTTCTGCCCACTGCTCCCTTGCTTCCCATCCACTGACACGATACTGTCCTTGCCTTTACCAGTGCCAGATTTGTCAGACAGATCACCCGAATCATCTACAGCTCTTCGCGTCTCTCCATCGTTCTCCTCCACCTGAGGTTTCGCACCTCCTGTTGATCTAAGCGGCCCATTATCTTCCAAAGCAGATGGACTTTTCCTGCCTGCTACAGTAGCATGACACATCCTTCCTGCGCTGCTGCGTCTTCTTCCACTCTTCTGGCCAGCTGCTTGATCATCTTCTAGCAATGATGTGTTTATGGTTGGACTGTCAATGTCAGATCTCCGCAGTTCAATGCTTTTCCTCTCAGCCGTTGGGGCGTCTTTCCTTCTTTCTGTGACAGAAGGCACTGTCTCTGAATTCTTCACCCCGACAGGTCCGCCTTCTGTCTCTCCTTTCTTCACTGCCCCAGTGGGTGTTCCCTGTCTGGTAGACCTCTTGGTCACCGCCTGCTTTGCAATGTCCCCACCCACGACTTCGGTTCCACATTCACTTGCACTGACTGCTTGCTTCTCCACATTCTCTTCCACATCTGCCGTACCAACGCCAGCTTTCAACATCTGCTCGTCAGAAACTGTCACGTCAACGCCTTCCTCGCGGCCTTCTTCCTTCCTCGCTGGGCCACCGCCGTCACCACTGTTAACTTCAGAACTGTCTGCTTCATTGTTTTTACCAACTGCACCCCCATGCCTCTCCATCCACAATCGCTGGACGCTATCATCATCATCTGGCTGCGTATCTTCATCATCAAGATCAATCTCCACATTCTTCCTCCGGTCCAGGATCGGTGTCCTCTCAGTTCCTGCAACAGTTGCTGAGATACCACCTTCTGCTTCTCCTGTCTCCACAGCAATGTCTTTTACTGTCTTCTGTCTGCTCAGTTGTTTGTCAGGATCAACTGGAGGGCCACCCTTCTGTGTTGATCTCCTAGAGCCTCTCTTCACATATGTAATTACAACATTACCACCTGGCGATTTCACATTGTCGTTCGCCCATGTTTCATCCACATCTGGCCCAGCCCACAATGACTCCGCTGCTGGGTTTGCGGAACTCAGACAAACTGTTGCCGAGACTTTCGAAGCAGTTCCAGCGCTCTGATCTATGTCTCCCTGCTTGCTCAGAGAGCTTGGATTTGCAGCGTCCCTTGCACCGCTGCCTTCTATCTTCCGCGCTGCATCTGGGCTTGCTAATCCGTCACCTACCGTCTTCCGCGCTGAATCTGGGCTTCCTAATCCATCACCTAAAAACCTTCGCGCTGCATCATCTGGTCCATTCAGTTGCTGTGTAGGACTCTGCATCCTGCGATCTTTGATATCATTTCGGTAGCCAGTGCTCCTAGACCCGGTGACATGTTCATTCTGGCCCAGCTTGTCAGGCTGCAAACTTGGGAAGTCTATTCTGTTTCTCTCCTTAAGAGGGGAAAGATGACCTGGCCTTTTCGAGGTCGGGGTGTCGACCATAGGCATCCTGCTTGATGGATCTCGTCCGTCTGATTGCTTTCCCACTGTTGCTGAAGACACAGGTCCAACAGCGGGACCAACTGGGTTCTTCGCTGCCGCCCCTGGCAGCTTTCCGGTGCCAAGCTGCTCTGCTTCAATACCACTTCAGTTCCAGAAACGAACCGAAAACAATGGACAGAGGGATTACTGTGGCTGTCTTTGCTGTGTTTTTTCCTTTTAGGGGTTAATACCCGGGTTATCCATGATAGGGGTAAGGGTTCTTTGTTCCTTGGCGCGGGTTCAACTAACAGCCAATCCTTCCATAGGAAGCAATCAATGCTGTCAGAGTTTAGTCGGGCCATAACGTGGGGATACTTCAACAGTGGGTATATTAAGTATATTACTTTTATTATTTATGACTTGCTGCTGGAATAGGCAAAAGAAAAAAGCACCAGCAGCAGCAGAAGAAAAAGGAACCAAACTGATAGTCCCCAGAATGGCTATGGTGCCACACCCGAAAGGACCAGGTTTTTTTTTTTTTTTTTTTCAAAGTCAGACATCCACAGTCTAATGTTTGTGGAAATCATCTGGATGAGCAATATGTGAGAGCTCACAAGAGACACGATTTTGGTTAGTTCAGATAACAAATTAACAATAGCCATAGATAACTAGCGTCTGCCCTAGTGCAGCGTTGCATCGAAGCTGTCCATTTATTATTCAAGCTGTGTGACCATCATCCGGATGACCCATGTGTAAGAGTTCACGAGAGGTACACGATTAGGGTAGAAAATAGAACCTTCCCGGCGTTCCCGCACCAGCAGCCAACTGATCCAAAGACAGGAAAAGATAGTAGTAAAAAAACTACGCATACCCTGATGCATGTAGCATGCACTTTCCTAAGTCCGCAAAACAGGTCCAGAGTCCAGACACCAAAAGGCTACATAGTAAATCCCTACACTATTAAAATCGCTAACGTGACAAATCTGAAATCCGGGCTGTCGTCGGTCCTACCGGCCCACGGCCCAGATCGACCTAACCATGTAACAAATCTGCGATCTGGGCCGTCGGGTCCTACCAGACTGACGGCCTGGATAGATGCGGTCTTAAGATCTTAGTACGGCGCCGAGATCCAGGCCGTCCGTCCGGATCGACGGCTCACATAGACGCGCCGCGGAGTGCCGTGGGGTACTACTAATCAAGTGCCGTGCGGTGCTACCGGAGTCGAGGGCACTTCACGACGGCAGGCCAACCCAACTTTCCCGTTGGACTGAACGTCGTCGTGCATCCGTTGTATTCTGCTGTTGCCGTGAAGCGCGCCGTGCTGTTGTTTTGAAGCGCCCGTTTGTGAAGCGCCCTGTTGTGGAATACTCTCTCTCTCTCTCTCTCTCTCTCTCTCTCTCTCTCTCTCTCTCTCTCT